CCACCAGCCAAATAAAGCTACTCTTAATCGACACCATAGATCTCTCCTCTCAAGAGTTTAGACCACTAGCCAAGCTGACCCAGAGCGCCTGCTGGGTCCCAGGTGTGGTCTGAGGCCTGGTCCTTCCCTTACGTGAAGGTAAGACAGCCAGGGGTGTGCAGGTGAACGCTTTGCCTCTGGCTCTCAGAAGGAAGGAAGCACAATGTGTCGCGTTTGTCCTCGTCGCCGACCACAGATTTGAGAAGAACTGTGCGCAGTGCGCTGAGACAAGCAGGTTCCAGGCTCCCCACCAGGCACGGCCCTAGCTCACTTGGGACTCCGCTGCCGTCGGCCACCCCGGCAAGCGCCATCGGGAAGTTGCAGGCCGGAGGCTACGACAGAATAGAAAACAGAAATCTGTTTCCTGAAACGGGCTTTAGGGAGCTCAAGTCATGCTCTGGGTTGGATAATGAGGGGGCCAAGGAACTGTGTTTCAGGACTTGGACAGTAGGTGCTAGAGTAGGCAGCCGCTTTGGGGCCCGAGGTCAGGGGTGGGAGCCCAGAGCTTCTAAACATCCTCCTAAAAATCCTCAGTAATCTTCCACAAATAATGTCCTTCACCTCAACCACCTCCCCCTTCTGTCTTTTCCCACCATAGGTCACGTACAGGTCTTCGTGGTCGCTGGAGAAGATTCCTTCCTCTGTTTGTCCCCCTAGACCAGTTTCCCTTCCCGTGTTCGCACACATGCCCCAGGCTGCCTCTGAGGACCTGGGAGGTGGCCTCCCAGGACATCACAGCTGTAAGGGGCTCGGGGACTCTGCGGAGGGGCAAGATGCACGGCGATTCTCTGTGTTCCCTCTTTCAGGCACCAGCAGTGTTTCTATGGGGTCAACCTGTCCAGTCTCCGGGGGGCCGCGGTGGACGAGTATTTCAGGCAGCCGATAGTGGTAAGTGTGCTTCATCCAGGCTCTCTCCCCCCATGTGTTCGTCTATCGATCCGCTCGCTCGCCCGCTCGCTCACGCACCTGGGAGGCACCGTGTTGCCAGGCTCTGTGAAGCCGGCACAGAAGAGAAAAAAGAGCTCCTTGGAGCCCTGGGTTTTCGAGTGCTCCAGCTCTCATTTCCAATCAATTACGAAAATTCTCAGGGAATGACGCTGTCGGCGGCAAGGAGATTTTCTGACCGCCTTTCAATAAGTCGCTTCTAATTCTCCCACTGCCCTGACTCACCCTGTGTACACACTCAGCCCTGGTACTTGTTCAATAATTCATATCTTCCCATTGATTCTGGTGGCCCCAGGCATAGAGGAGGAAGCTCTGTAAAATAAATAGCTTAGATCAGGAGCTTTGCTGTCGAACACGTTGGGGTTTCAGTCGTGGCCCCATCCAACTGTGTGACCTTGGACAACGATAAGTTTGCATTAACCCAAACTGGCTTAATTACTGGGCTTCCAAAACCGCAAAGCCTGAAGCAAGGGACCTGTTGCAGGGGTTCAGACAATGTCACCCGAGTCTGATTTTTCCATCCTTGTAATTTGTCTCCATTGCCTCTGATTTAACCCTATTCTCAGTCAGGATCTCCCCTTGTGGTAGCAAGATGGCTTCAGAGACTCCAGCCTCAGACTCTTACAACTCTTTTAATTCCCACAGGAGGACCTGCCTTTTTCCAATAACTTGAGCCAGAGCCCCAGGATTAGTTTGGGTAGAGCCTGACCGCCCTCCCTTGGGTCGTGCTCCTGCATCTGAAACTGTATTCAGGGAAAAAGTGATCAATGATTGGCCAAGCTAGGGTCACAGGCCACACCCGGAGCAGAGGTAGACTAAGTTTTTCTGGAACTTCCTGGAATGTGCAGAAGTGGTAAAATCTGGATGATTTTCAGATACACCAAACAGCTGCTCCTTAGCACGCAGGAAAGCATGAAGCACTTAGCGCTTGGCGTGCAGAAAACGTGAAACAATTTGTTAGCTACTCCGACTGATGGTCATTCTCATTAAGCTCATGCCTTCTAAATCCTAACTCTTGTTGACTTAACGCTTCAAGAGGAAAGCCACTTTACAGGCTTGTTTGGGTTCCGTTTATCCTGACTGAAAGATAATGCCTCTGCTTCCTTTCCCCCAAGGACACGTTTGACGTTAGGATTTTGATGGCTCGGACGGTCAAATACACGGTAAACTTCATGGATGCAGAAGAAACAGATCTGCACAGGTTTGTAAATATCAGCATTACTCCTGGTCTTTAAAGCCTCTTCTCGGCCTTTCTCAGCCCCAGAACCTCAGTGCAGGGTTTTGCCGCTCACACAGGGGCGAGACCTCGGGTGTGAGTCACACACAGGGATGGTATATCAATGCTTGTTCCATTTTATTGCAAAACATGGATAAGGCTGCTTCTTTCGTGGGTTGTTTTAAGAGCTGAATGAGAAAAACTAAGTAGTAATGGCTTGAACTTCTGCAACCACTCAATGTTCTGAGCCCTTCACTTCCAATGACTCATTTCGTCCTCACAACAGTGCTCTACAGATGGAACTGTTGTTGCCTCCATTTTAAAATTTTTAACGTTTATTTTTGAGACAGAGAGAGACAGAGCATGAACGGGGGAGGGTCAGAGAGAGGGAGACACAGAATCCGAAACAGGCTCCAGGCTCTGAGCTGTCAGCACAGAGCCCGATGTGGGGCTCGAACTCCTAGACCGCGAGATCATGACCTGAGGCGAAGTCAGACGCTTAACCGACTGAGCCACCCAGGCGCCCCGGCCTCCATTTTAATGGTGACAGATGTGAGGCAGAGTGGAACGCTGGGTTTCAAAAGATCACAGAATTAGTATGTTAAAAAAAATGTGTTTTGAGCAACAGGCAAAAGTTTATTAATGTATAAGATTAGAAAGAATAGTAGTAGAGTGGCGACATTCAAAAGTGAATGCTCCCAACTTTCTTAATGTTTATTTATTTTTGAGAGAGAGAGAGAGAGAGAATGCATGCACAAGTGGGGGAGGGGCAGAGAGAGACAGCGACACAGAATCCAAAGCAGGCTCCAGGCTCTGAGCCAAGTCAGCACAGAGCCCGACGCAGGGCGCCAACTTACAAACCGTGAAATCATGACCTGAGCTGAAGTCACACGCTCAACCGACTGACTCACCCAGGTGCCCCATGAGTATATTGGACCTGGGATTTGAACCGTTCAGAAGGCTCCAGAGTCTGGGCTGTTTGACCCCTCACTCAGGCCAGTGCCCACATTAACGTCAAGAAGAGTACAGCCTACTTTACATTAGGTGCTGGGCTAAGTGTTTCACAGACCCTGGCTCCTTTTCAAAGAGGACACTCAGTAAATGTTAGCCTTGCCCTCCTCCCTCCACTTGAAGAGACTCTGTAATGGGAACTCACTCCTCAGATGGTGCTCTGAATCCCCTTTGGATGATTTTTCACTGGTATTTTGCCTTTTTCTCTCTGGAAGGAGATCTCTATGCACATTTTTTTCTGGGTACGAAATTTAAGACCCAGCCAAGTTGTCATCTTTCCTGGACCCCTGAGGAAGCAAGGGCCAGACTCGAGCAGGTGCAGCTGGCCAACGCAAACCATCATCTGTCTGGAGATCACAACGGACAAAGGGTGCTGTGTCTAATCAGCGCAGGCTAGAACCTGCAGCACTAACAAAAAGAAACCTTGAGACAGAACAGATGGCTTAACTGACTGTGCCCCCCTAGGTGCCCCAAGAGACTCTTAACTATAGAGAACAAACTGACGGCTGCTGGAGGGGAGGTGCATGGGGGGGGGTGGGCTAAATGGGGGATGGGCATTAAGGAGGGCCCTCGTGATGAGCCCTGGGTGTTCTGTGTAGGTGATAAATCACTAAATTCTGTTCCTGAAGCCAGACTACACTGTATGTTAACTAGATTGAATTTAAATAAATTCTTTTTTTTTTTTCAACGTTTATTTATTTTTGGGACAGAGAGAGACAGAGCATGAACGGGGGAGGGGCAGAGAGAGAGGGAGACACAGAATCGGAAACAGGCTCCAGGCTCTGAGCCATCAGCCCAGAGCCTGACGCGGGGCTCGAACTCACGGACCGCGAGATGGTGACCTGGCCGAAGTCGGACGCTTAACCGACTGTGCCACCAGGCGCCCCTAAATTCTTGGAAAGAAAAAAAAAAGAAGCCTCGGTGGCTTATAACACAGGAGTCTCTCTCCCCGACACTGTTTATCTACTGTGCCCAGCTTTCACTCTGTACAGCATCACCCACCCTGGTGCACCAGCCTCTGTCTGGAACAGTCCTCCTCACTGAGGAAAAAGAAGGATCGTGGCGAAGTCTGTACTGGGAATAAGAGCTTCTGCCTGGAAATGACACAGATCACTTCTGTTCACATTTAATTGGCCAAAGTAAATCACGTGGCCGGGCCCAAGCCTGGGTGAGCGGATAATTGCAATGCTACCCTATGCCCAGCTCAAGAGAACTGGCATTTGGGGACAACTCCAGTAAGTACCACAGGCCCAGACAAAACGGACTTCTATTGACTTTATCTGCTGTTCCGGGCCCCCTCCTGAGTCCCAGGGAATTTTTTGAAAACTACATCTGTGTTGGCTTCCCAGAGATGTCACCTGTCATTCAGTTTATTTGTGTGTTGATTCAGGAAATGTTTATGGAGATCCTACCCTGTGCCAGATAGAGTGCTGGTGCTTGCACAGGTGCAAAAGGTAATTTTTAAAAGTCTACCCTTGGGGTGCCTGGGTGGCTCAGTCGGTTATGCATCCAACCCTTGATTTCAGCTTGGGTCACGATCCCAGGGTAGTGGGGCCGAGCCCCACATCAGGCTCCACACTGAGCACGGAGTCTGTTTAGGATTCTCTCTCTCTCTCTCAAAAAGAAAAAACAATAAATAAATAAATTAACAAAAATTTTTTAAAAAATTAAAAAAATAGGGGCGCCTGGGTGGCTCAGTCGGTTAAGCATCCAGCTTCAGCTCAGGTCATGATCTCACAGTTCGTGGGTTCGGGCCCCACATCAGGCTCTGTGCTGACAGCTCAGAGCCTGGAGCCTGCTTCGGATTCTGTGTCTCTCCATCTCGCAGCCCCTCCCCTGCTCATGCTCTGTGTCTCGCTGTCTCTCAATAATAAACGTTAAAAAAAAATTTTTTTAATTAAATTTAATTTTAAAAAAGTCTACCCTTGAAGAGTTCATAGTCTATTTAGGGCAATGCAAAAAAACAGGAGGAAATAATGACCATGCAATGTCAAAAAATTCAGTGTGATCGGTACAATGGAAAACTCTAGAAATGCTCTGCCACAGGGTGAAAGAAGTTAGGGCTTTGGGGGGGCACCATAAATGCAAATAAGGTACCACCTCCCTTGAAAATCTTTAGAGCACTCTCTAAAACATGTCTCCCCTTAGCGGTGGATGAATAATACGATCTTGTAGCTGTGTAACACTTTTATAGTTTGCAAAGCCCTCCGGTACACATTTTTCCCCATTTGAGCACACGAGGACCTTGCAAAGGGAAGTAGGAGAGAGCCTTCGTCGCCCATCAACGGATGAGGCGACTGAGGCTCAGTGACTTGTCAAGTAAGCACCTAGATTTTGTTGCACCTTCCCCACTGTTCTTCCTGTTCCCGCTCATCGTGCATTTGGTATAAACCATGGCCGCCTCGGCGTGACGCTTGCCGTAGCCTGGTGGGAAACTCGTGCAGAGTTTTGTCAAGACGCAGAATTCTCCCATGTGTGGCATCACCCAGGCATGAATCACACACTGAGAGAATCTTGCTGCCAAGGCAACTGTGCTTAAGAGGGAAGGAAAATATTCCGTGATTTTCCCCGATCCCACAAATGCGTCTAGTGTGCCTGTCAACAACAACGAAATAATTCCACATGTTTCTACGCTCTCTCCTTTTTCTTGCCTTGCAGAGTAGAAATCCCCTTTGTGTTTCAGATGACACAGTCTGGCCTCATCCACGGCCTGGCGTTCTGGTTTGACGTGGCCTTTGTTGGATCTGTGTAAGTATCACCCCTCCCTTGACTATTCTGTCCTACGCCATTCTCTGCATTGTGTAGTCGTGGCTTGAAAGTGTTTTGAAGTTGATTTCAACAGTAATACTTGTTTCTCTGGGTTCCGAGAAAGGAAGGCACTTTCAGATTTTAGGGCGAAGTCAAAATGAGACAATTTTCCATGGTGTCCTCTCGGCTCTGGCTAACATAGTGTAAAACCTCTTAAGCCAACTGGATTGAGACTTAAAGGGTTGGGAAAGGGTCTGTGCTTCATCAGCCCTCTTGGTCTATTCCAGAATAGAGGGTGGGAAGGACCCCCAGCCCCTGCCTTGGCTTCCAGCATGTTATCCTGGTTAGAGAACCTCCTGTACCTGAGTGATACCTGGAATCCTACCTTCCCTGACTCTGTTCACGCCCTCAGCCTCACAGAAGATGCTCGAGAGTCCTTCCTCAATGATCAGGCAGGCATATACCACTAATGCTAATTGCAGCATGAGGGTCGTTTCATCGTGTCTTCCTTGCCCTTCCTGAAGAGCTTGGAAAGCTTCAGAGGAAAGAGGAGAAAGACCACCTACAAGTTGACTGTCGGTGTTTGGTCTTCCTTGTACGGGCTGTGCCATTACCGTACCCCCAAACCTCTACTCTCCTCCTGACTCCCCTACTCTCTTGCCAGGCTTTCTCATACTCTCTGCCTGGTGAACCCAGTAGCTCTGGGTCACATGACCAGGTGAAAGGAAAGCTTTTGCATTACACTCCTCTCTCCTCCTCGTAAAAACATCCAGGCTTATCAAGACATCTGTGGAGAACACAAGTGCCCATGGGTCTGCGATAAAGCTCAGGGAGCTTGTGGGGGTGGGGGTGCTCCGGGGAGGAGGGGACCCCCGGCAGCCTCATCTGGGCTGACAATCAGAGAAAAAGAAAATGCTGTACGAGTCGTCCCTACACCGCAGAAGCATATTTGTTCAAGGAATCCATACATTGGTTTCTCAGACTTTCCCCCAGTGAATCTGTTCCTGCAGGGCTAAGGGAGAGAAGCTTGAAGTGGCCTGCTCCAAGGGGACAGTTCCTTTGAAGTGAAATGCTTTATCCTACAAAGCTTTAGACAGCTTGCATCCTGCTCCCGCATGTGCCTGAGTATATTTTGATAGAAGAGTGGTTTATATTACTTTGCGGTGAAATTTTGTAAAATGCACCCCCCACGCCCCCACCCCCCTCGCTGCAACATCTTCAAGTCAAAATAGACCCTGTAGGGGTCAGCTGTGTGTTCCACGCACACCTTACTCCATCCAAACCAGCGACACGGTCGAGTGAGTCACCAGGACAGGTGACCTTGGTGTTTGGGGGCACAGCCAGGTATTCTCGCATCTTCGTATGAAATGAAGAATGCCATGTAAACACTGTCACACACACGTACATGTGTGGGACGTCTGAGCTGGAAGGACAGCAGAGACCATCTGCCCCAGGGCTTTTCTTGCTTCCAGAAGCCCTCTCAGGTTCCCTGAACAGGCTGGCATGAGACGGTAGGAGGCCAGACTCCAGACTTGTTACCTTGAGAGACACTTTTCAGACAACTCAGTTCCCAGCCTAACTCTATTCCTTGTTGGGCTTCTAACGAACTTTGATTCAGAAAGACAGATTGAAGGGCACCCGAATGGTGCAGTCCGTTAAGGGGCCGACTCTTGATCTCGGCTCAGGTCAGGATCTCACGGTTTGTGGATTCGAGCCCCACATCTGCCATCAGCGCAGACCCTGCTCGGGATTCTCTCTCCCTGTCTCTCTCTCTGCCCCTCCCCTGCTCATGTTTGTTCTCTCTGTCTCTCTTCCTCTCTCTCTCTCTCTCTGTCTCTCTCAAAATAAAACTTAACAAAAAAGACAGATTGACAGAATGGCCAAATCCACAGGTTTGAAGCCTGGCTCTCCAACTGTCTTCTGCGTGATGCTGGGCATGTCCTTTAACCTCCCTGTGCTGACTTTATCGAGTTACTGTATAGACTTAGTGAGGGAATATATATAAAGCTCTTGGGACATTGCCATGGCAATGACCTAAACTGAGCTATCCTTACCTTAAAAGGATTCCATGAGTTGAAAACTCTGCAAACCAACTATCAACCTAAGTCCCCAGTGCAATCCATGCAATATGGCCCCAGAACGTAACTGACGTTTAACTCTTCTCCCGTCCCACAGGGTAACTGTTTGGCTGTCCACAGCCCCAACTGAGCCTCTGACTCATTGGTATCAGGTGCGGTGCCTTCTCCACACTCCCCTCTTTGCCAAAGAAGGAGAGACCCTCTCAGGGAAAGTGCTGTTTGTAGCCAACAGACGGTAAGCTGGGAACTAGACTACTGACTACTGGGCAAGGGGGTGTGAGAGGTGGGAGCATTTTCAGCACCTCGAAATGGGCAGCAGGCTTTACAAAAGCCCAGCTCACTCTGCTACCAAGACAGCAAACGTCTTCCTCGCGATGAGGGCCACGGGGATGGGGAGCTTGGGGTGACTCAAGGGCAGCGTTCTCCACCTGACCACGGAGGAGGTCGGAGTGCTTGCCAAACGCTTGAATTATCAAGCGCTTGAAATCCCACATCAGCTCCTGACCTTCCTTGCATCCAGCCACACGCCCTCAAATTTAGTACAATACCATCAATTTGTTCCCCAGGGGACAGGCACAGCAGGGCGATGTGTGGTGTGGGCACAGCAGGACTGGCTGTGTCCCTCTGGTAATGGATTTCACGAGGCCTCTCCTCTGCAGCCATGACTTTGATTTATCTCATTTTTAAGATGCTCTATTTTCTTTCACCTTGTTGGAGCTTCTCCGGGGTGAATCAGGGGAGAAAGGAATAGCGGAGCAGTTCAAGGACTCTCAGGATATTAAGGGTACTCAGAGATCATCTCACTCAACTTCCTTCTCTCCCTACCTCCCACCTCTTCTCGGACCTGCACTTGAACACTCCTGTGATGGAGAGCTCATCCCCTTACAAATCAACCCTTCCATTTTTTTTTAATGTTTATTTATTTTTGAGAGAGAGACAGAGCATGAGCAGAGGAGGGGCAGAGAGAGAGGGAGACACAGAATCCCAAGCAGGCTTTACACTCCGAGCTGTCAGCACAGAGCCCCGTGTGAGGCTCGAACTCACGAACCGTGAGATCATGACCTGAACCGAAGTTGGACACTTAACCAACTGAGCCGCCGGGTGCCCCAACCCTTCCATTTTCAAAGTCTATATTTCTTTCCTTACAAAAGCCTAACACGCTCACATATTAAATTCAGAACTACAAAAGTGTTTAGAGTCCACACTCGCTGCCACCCCTCACCCACTCCCCAGATGGGGCCCCTTGGTCCATATGCTTCCAGGTGATTTTTCTGCGCATGTACTAATAACATCATCGTGGGGTTTTTATTGTTGTTTTACCAGAAGATTCAACTAGCCGTCTCCCACTTAAGTTTTCACTTAGCATTAAGTCCTGAATCTGTGCACATAGATCTGCTTTGTTATTTTAATCGATGCGTAATAGTGGAGGGCATAGATGTATTACATGTCTCTTTAAAAATCACGGACGGCGGGGCATCTCCGTGGCTCGGTTGGGTAAGCATCTGACTCTTGGTTTCAGCTCAGCTCATGATCTCATCGTTCGTGGGTTTGAGCCCCTCACTGGGCTCTGTGCTGACAGCACGAAGCCCGCTTCGGATTTTCTCCCTCTTTCTTTCTCTCCTCCTCCCCTGCTCGCTCATGCTGCCTCTCTCTCTCAAAATAAATAAATAAACTTAAAAAAACATTTTTTTAAAAAACTGCTGATGGGTTGATACTTGGGTTGCTTCCCACGTTTCCCCTTTTTTTTGGCCACTGTGAAAAACTCTGCCCTAAATCCCCTTGAACATGAAGCTTGCACAGGGGCAAGAATATTTCTACATGAGATCCCTAGAAATGGAGATGCTAAATCAAAGGGTATGTACCTGTGACACTCTGATAAATACATATGTATTTTATGTATTTGTACCTTTATGTGCAACCTCAGTGGTTGCACCAATGTCCACTCACGGTGATGGACGGCCATGGACGGCCAGGCTCATTTCTGCACTTCTTTTCTCTACACTGCCTGTGATTGGTCTCTGTGGCTTTTGCCAGTACTGATGTGTGTGCACATGTGAGGGAACGGAGAGTGAGAACGTTAAGCAGGCTTCTCACCCAGCCCAGAGCCTGATGCAGGGCTTGACCACGCACGCAGGTCTGGGATCGTGACTTGAGCCGAAGTCAAGAGTCAGACGCTCAACTACCCAGGGCCCCCTACAAATACAATTTTTATGTTATTTTATTTTATTTTAATGTTTTTTATTTTTGAGAGAGACAGAGACGGAATGTGAGTGGGTTAGGGGCAGAGAGAGGGAGACACAGAATCCGAAGCAGGCTCCAGGCTCCAAGCTGTCAGCACAGAGCCCGACACGGGGCCTGGACTCACGAGGTGCGAGATCATGACCCGAGCCGAAGCCGGTCGCTCAACTGACTGAGCCACCCAGGCACCCCTCCAAATATAATTTTTAAAAGTTGCATCTGGTTGTTTTGGTGTATATTTTTTTAATTACTAATAGGGGTAAATAACTTTTCATATGGTCTTTGGTTATTGATGTCTTGTACTTCAAACATCTCTGATCATTAAAAAATTATTCTTGTTGTTGATCCTACAAGTACTTCCTAGTAAGTCTACTCATTGACCTTACTTCTGCTTCTGAGTCTGTTCCAGGCTCCAAATGGCAGTTGTTGAAATATTTGGAGAGCTCTACCAAAATCCTGCCAGTCTTCCTGGCTGGCTATAGGCTAACATCCTGTAAGAGTGATTTGTAAATTGTTGGAGGTTCTAAGCCCGCCCCTCTGGAGAGTTGGTGGGACTTTTCTGGAAAGTAATTTACAAGAAGGGAGTTCCTGTGGCAGGAGAGACATGACCATCTTCAGGCGGTCTGTTTTCCTCCACTCACATTCTCTCTCCTTCTGTGCCGCCGCAGAGTCATCCTGCTTCCTGCCAACATGGCTCCTCTTCTGCTTGTTTCCGTGGTTCTACCATATTGCAGTTCTTGCCCGCCCCAGTGCCTGCACAAGACGTTACACATGAGGAATAAAGCTTTTGCATTTCGGAAAATGCTCCTCATCCTCAGCTTGGGTGTTTTGGGGAGCACTCTCTGAGACGCACCCCCCTCTGGGCTCTCTTGCTTCTCTTGGCACTTCTATGCTTTTTCCCATGTGCCTTACAGCCAATGCCAAGTGCTTCTGTAGCCCTTATACATGAGGTAGAGACTGCAGATTCTATCTTTCTCCCAGTTTTACAGAAAATGAGGTCCCTGGTCTGCAGTGTCTTTCTCTTCTGCTTGTTTAGGGCATGGTTTCCAGGAGACAAAGTTGGGAAATGCTGATTTATACCGTGTTCATCCTGGAAGTCACCACTTTCTTCCTCAATCCTCATAAACCATCTATTTAATGATCGGTTCTAAAGAAAAAAAATTACTAAGGAGCAGTAGCCAACATCAGCTTGGAGTTGGGACTTGCCTTTTCTGCTTAACATTCTTTTGCTTTCAGATATTTATATTTGAAGGTATCTTAGGGTATCATTAGGTGGGTGGATTTAAATCATCTTATTTTCCTATTACTTTTTTCTTTCTTTTAAACAAAACCTTTTTTTTTTTAATGTTTATTTATTTTTGAGGAGAGAGACAGAGCAGGAGCAGGGGAGGGGCAGAGAGAGGGGGAGACACAGAACACAGAATCTGAAGCAGGCTCCAGGCTCCGAGCTGTCAGCACAGAGCCCGATGCAGGACTTCAACTCATGAACCATGAGATCATGACCTGAGCTGAAGTCGGACATTCAACTGACTGAGCCACCCAGGCGCCCTCCATTATTTTTTTCTAACATATCTTGGGTTTCATCCTTCTCCGTCATATTTTTTGACCCTCCTCTCCTTTATTCCCCCGATGGGTAAGAAAGAAGCAAACCATTTACCTCATACACCTGTGTCATGACTCCCGGGTTCCTCCAGCCTTCCGTACCTTTCTTAAAGCAACAATGTTGTATCCCTGCTATTTGCCTATATGTGAACTTCCCAAAAAGAAGGCCCAAGTCTCATTCTATTGTGTATCCCTCCTGACTTAATTCATTTCAGAGATTCGGCAGTGATGTGGAAGGACCACCTGAATGAAGAAGTCATGTCAGGATCCTCCTTTTAGTAAGAATTTAGTCTGGCTCAGTTGAAAGAAGACACTAAGAGATTATGGACACATGATACTTAGCAGCAGGAATAAAGGGAGGAAGGTGGAAGGAAGATTTTTTTTTAATATATTAAAAAAGATTTTTTTTTTAATGTGTATTCATTTCCTGAGAGAGACAGAGCATGAGCAGGGGACGGGCAGAGAGAGAGGGAGACACAGAATCCAAAGCAGTTTCCAGGCTCTGAGTTGTCAGCACGGAGCCCGACGTGGGGCTTGAATTCACGAACCGCAAGATCGTGACCTGAGCTGAAGTCGGAGGCTTAACCGACTGAGCCACCCAGGTGCCCCTTTAATATTTTTAAACGTGATTTTTTAAAGTTTATTTATTATAAGAGAGAAAGCATTAGTGGGAGTGGAACAGAGAGAGAGGAGGGAGAGCGAATCCCAAGCAGTCTTCACATCATCAGTGCCAAGCATGATGCAGGGCTTGAACCCACAAACTCTGAGGTCATGACCTGAGACATGACCAGGCTTTGGCAGATATTAAAGGAGAAAACACAGTATAGTCATCAGCACACAGTAGGTCCACAGAAAATCTTAGTTCCATTTTTTTCCCGCCTTCTTCTCTTCCTTACTCTCATTTTTGCTTTAAAATTATTACTTTCCTTGGCATTTTCCCCAAACTCAGCACTTCCTGAATGTCAGTACTTTGACGTTCTTCTCAGTCAGGTGCTGCTGGTTTGTCCTGCCTTTGGACAGGATCTCCCCCTTCCTTATTGTCAAATATTCTTTTAAGCTCTGGCCTCCCGGGAGAACTGCCCCCCCCCCGTCCCCGGGGTAAGCCACACTGGCGTGACAATGGCTGCCCTTTTCTTCCCAGCCAGGACCCCTTGGGATCGTGTTGTTAGCGTTTTATTTTCCACAGACTTCCATCATTCTTCGGCTGTCATTCATATTATTGCTGTGGACAATAAAACAGAACTTATGTTTTTTATGAACTTTATGAAATGTACATCCCTCAAGTGCACAGAAGCTGGTGTCCATGAGGTTTTTTGATCGTGTGCACCTCGGAGTAAAGACATTTTGTATATGCGTCCCCCGATTATAGACTAGCATTTATCTTATAGTTCTGTGAATGTACCACAGTAATAATAGAAAGTATAAAGTGGAGTGCTCGATATAGAGATATATATACTATATATATACTATTTATATATATACACACACATGCATAGACATGTCTCTGTATATACACACATAGAAACTTACATGGTGTATACGTCATAGGACACAAAATTAGAAATAAAAAAGAATGAATGGAAAAAAACAAACATACATAGGCTGACGTGGGGTCTAGCTCAGCCACTCACCCTGGGCCAAGATTTTTTGGAATATACTTTAAAATTTGGGGGTCCCTATGAAGGTCTGCAGTACTCAGGTCTGCCAGGGAATTTGGTTTTCAGAGAGTTCCATGAGCTTTGTGTTCTGAAACTAGAAGGAATGCTGACCAAAGAGTTAAAGGTTTGGAAGCTCCAAGTGGCGCTCCCAAAGGCCATCTCTAAACTGCTCTGTTTTGCGCTCAACTTTCCTCAGGCCAAATACCTACGGGTCTGGACAGCTGCATCGGCAGGAGCTCTGGGGCGAAACTCTTGTCGATGATCAGGAACAGTGAGGCGTTAGCATGCGCGGGCTCAGCTTTAAGGGATGTTTCTTTGCCCTTTGCTACTCAGATTCTCCTGGCTCTGACCAATGTCTGCACCGCCCAGTTGGTATTTACTCAGTGATGTTGTACCACATTGTCTGCGGTATAATCAGATTCTCACTGAACCGTCCCGCCTTAGCAAAACCCAAGAAAGTAGGTGAGCATAATAGAGAACGAATCTGGCACTTTCCTAGTGACTTCACGAGTGTTCAGTATGTGTTAGGTGAACACGTGTATTCGTTTCCCAGGGCTGAAAATTTTAAAAATCGGGGCACCTGGGTGGCTCAGTCAGTTGCGCGTCAGACTCTTGATTTCAGGTCAGGTCACGATCTCGCAGTCATGAGATCGAGCCCCACAGCGGGCTCTGCACTGGTCACGGAGCCTGCTTAAGAGTCTTTCTTTCCCTCTCCCTCTGCCCTTTTCTCTCTATCAAAAAAGAAAGAATTAAAAATCGGAGCTAAGTATTTTCTTCCACCCCCCATGTACCCCCTTGGGGCACACTCAAACCCCTCTGAAGAACGCTGGTCCAGGGTCCATTCTGCTGAGGTTCGCATTCCTTCCTTCGCCTATCGGTAAACCCTCAGTGACTTGAGTCATTTTTTTTCTTTTTTTACTTTTTTTTTTTAATTTAAACTTTAGTTAACATGCAGTGCAATATTGGTTTCTGGAGTAGATTTCGGTGATTCATCACTTACATACAACACCCAGTGCTCATCACAAGTGCCTTCCCTAATGCCCGTCACCCATCTAGCCCACCCCCCCCCCCTCCCTCCATCAACCCTCAGTTTGTTCTCTATTGTTAAGTCTCTTGTGGTTTGTTTCCCTCCCTCTCTTTTTCTGAGCCCTTGTCTCCCCAAGCTTCCTGCCACTTCTGTTTATCCTATTCTCCCTTGATCATGAGCGCTCAGCCTATCCCTCTACTATACCTTCTGTTTTCTCGAAGATGAAATTGTCATGAATTACCACACTCTCTGGACAGATGTGTCCTGTATATGTTGTTCTTACGCTTCCAATATCTGTTATTCCAAAAGGAATGCTGGTATGAGAAACAATGATTTTGTTTTTATGTTTTTTTGTTTTTTTTTTAATTTATTTATTTAGTGTTATTTTTAAATATAATTTATTGTCAAAGTGGCTACCACACAGTGTGTAAAATGTGCTCTTGGTTTTTGGGGTAGATGGTTTTGCACTCAATTCTTGAACTAAAGGATGTCTCCTCTTAGGTCATTTGTTCCATCTCTGTAGATTTAAAAATTTTTTTTAATGTTGATTCATTTTTTGAGAGAGAGAAGGAGACAGAGTGCCAGCAGGGGAGGGGTAGAGAGAGAGGAAGACACAGCATCCGAAGCAGGTGCCAGGCTCTGAGCCATCAGCCCAGAGCCCGATGTGGGGCTCAAACCCACGAACTGTGAGATCATGCATGACCTGAGCGAAGATCAAGAGACAGACACTTGACCCACTGAGCCACCCAAGCGCCTTCCTATGTAGCATTCTGGAAAGAGCGTTGCTGAACAACACCCTAGAGCAGGAACTTCCTGTCTGTTCTTCCAGACCCCACCTGGAACCATTCAGTTCTCTGTTGTGTCATATGCGCATCCATGGACACACACATTTGCACAGACCTCAAGGTACTCTGTTTCTGCGTTAAGTCTTACGTTCATTGCTCTAAATATTGTTAAGAAGGCGTCTCTCATTTGGGAAAATAAGTAAGTGTGTCCCTCCCTGATTTCTCAGCCTTTCTATGATTCCAGCAAGGGCTGCCCTTATTCCTAAGGAGCTCGCTGTCTCAGTATCTCGCTTTCCTTGTGTCTACCTTCAAGTATCACAAATGCAGTGAACTCCTCCTCAATGTATCATGAAAGGAACATTTTGTAACGAAATAATTCGGAGTCAGTTACATGAGTTGAAATACAATCAAAAGACACTGATTTTTTGTTTTTTAATCTATGCCCACCTTTCCCTCTTACTTGTTTGGCCCCGATAAAAATCTGGAGCTTGAGGTACAGGCTTCACAGGATCCGACATTATACGTCAGCCTGCCCAGGCCACTACTGGTGACAACAGGGTGAGAGGCATTTGTAACACTCTGCAGTTTCTGGAATTTGACACAGAAGCCAGACCATCAAGGAAATTCCAGTTAAAGTGATCAGTGATATGTTAACCCCAGACGTTTAAAATATTAAGGATTGGAAGATATGTAATGAAATTAGCACTTTTATACTTTGTAGGTGAGGAAGTAGTTTAGTCCACTTTCTGGAAGATGTTTTAGCAGTAGGTGCTGGGAACCTTAAATATTTACGTGCTTTAGCCTGGCGAGTCTAACACTGAGAATTATTCCAGGCAAATAATCGCCAATAGGACATAAAGATGAACTACAAGACTGTCCTCTGCAGGAGAATATCTGTCGTCAAATTAGGCTTTTGTTACTAAAAGCAATAATATGTTATAACATGTTTGTAATACGTTATAAAAATGTAGATATTTGATCATGGGGCATCATTAATTATCCTGTGTAAGGCCCGTTAGTGCCACTGAAAAATGTGTTGTCAAGAATTATAGGGTAAATGCTTGTTTATGTTAAATCAAATTAGGAGATGTGAAGGAATATTTAAGATCATTGTATTAAAAATTCACATTTATGAAAACCATAGAAGGAAAAATACACAGGAAAATACTCTATAGTGTTAGCTAGAAGATTGTTTGTCTAGTGACATCATGAATTCTTTTATTTAATTTCTCTTTTTCCTTCTTTTTCAGTCATTCTACAGTGAATAGGTAGCACTTTATAATCCAAAGAAATACATGTGTTGTTGAATACGTATGACTAATAAAAATCCCACAAACATAGGTCCTTCAGATTAGTCATCAAAGATATGTCATATGACTTGTTCTTATCAGCCAATTCCCACTGGAATTATATGAGCCTTCGTCTGGGGCCTCTGAAAATCAGTCACATTTATTGACTGTTTTATGTCAGTTTAAGACTTTAACGTATCCAGTCTTTGCACGATTAAGATTATTTTGGTTACTTCGGTGGGTGACCCATGAAGTGCCTCTATTAATCAAAGCCATTTCTGTCCTTGGCTTTTGATCAAACCAGAAATACCATTAACTTTGTAATCTTTAGCTCAAGAGATTACAACTGCCAAACTCTTCTAACAAATAAACAAGGCCTTCTGTTGCCTCTACTAATGTTGGTAGCATCCCCATAAACACACACGACCGTAGACGAGATGCCAACCCCACACTCTTAAAACCCTCGTGAAGTAAGTAGGTATGTGTACAAGGTGCCTTCAGTGTGTGTGAAGAGGTGACCGGCCTCGTAAAATGATGGAGTTGTTTTGTTTTTTTGTTTTGTTTTCTGCCATACAGACAGAGCTATGACATTCATATCGTGGCGCTGGTAAACCAGACAGGCTTCCGATCTGGGAACATCCTCGATCTAAAGAATCCTTTCTTTAGGTAAGAAATGCTCTCAGCCATGTCCCAGCCATGTGTATAAAATCTCAGTGGACCGTATGACCAGGTAAAGACGTTCAGAATAATTCCACCTTTCCTAAGAGGAGAAGAGGCATCTACCTTCCTCCTTAAGGAGACTTAGATCCTATGATGGAGTTGAGTGTTCTAGTTCCATTAAATGGAATTCAATATGTAACAACCTGATCTTGAAACCACAAAGAGTCCTACAAAGTGAATTCTCGTTCCAGCTGAGCTATAATGAGCTGCGTGACCTTGGGCAAAGTCGCTTCCTTCTGGTATTTGGTTTTCTCATCTGCACGATGTGGAGTTTAAATATGGGCTCCTCTGACCATCATTCACTAACAGATGGTTTTGTGCCGCTTTTATTCCACTACACCTGAAACATGAAGTCCATTTAAAGTAAGTTTGTGAGGTATTTTTGAGATCACGTAAGTCGGGACAAACCCCTCTTTAGAAGCCGTGCAGGTTTTGTCTGATGTAAAAACTTGCCACAGTGAGAGGGATATGACGGATGTTTCTGGAAGAACCCCTCATCTCTTGCACCTCATCCATTAAAAATCCACACGTGAGGGGCGCCTGGGTGACTCAGTCGGTGAAGCGTCCGACTTCAGCTCAGGTCATGATCTCATGGTTCGTGGGTTCAAGCCCCACATCGGGCTCTGTGCTGACACTTCAGAGCCTGGAGCCTGCTTCCGATTCGGTGTCTCCCTCTCTCTCTGCCCCTCCCCTGCTCACGCTCTGTCTCTCTCTCTCACAAAATGAATAAGCATTTAAAAAAATTTTTTTAATCCACACATGAAATCCACCCCAGAATTAAAACCACTGGGCACTGTCACTCTTGACTTCCCTACCAAAAAACAAAAAAAAAAAGACTTTTCCTTCATACTGTAAAGTCTCCCAAGGCTTTGTATTCAAAGCATCATGTCTCTGTAGTATTGAAAAGCATAAAGAGAAGAATAAACACGGGAAACCAAACCAAAAGTTCTTCGGCAGAGATGAGAAAATGAAATCGTGACCTCGAAGCACGGGAGGCCAAACATAGGCAAGGCTTCTCTTGTTTATGCTGTGTGTGAGTTGTCACGCATCGTATGAATCTTAAACTGATAGCCATTTAGGGATATGGATGCCATCTTTAACTTTGAGGGAAAAGGGGGGTTCTCCCTCCCATCCCCGTACAGAATCCTGTCACTAAAGTCAAGGGCACAGATTGTGGCCTCAGAGCATGCAGACTCTCCACGAGCACAATTTGACCTGCCTAGGCCTCAGTCTTCTCCTCTGTGAAATGGGATTAACAACACATGCCTCACTGGGAGATTGCAGGGATGCCCATCGCACGTCCAAGCGCTAAGCAGTTCCTGTTACTGGTGTCCAGTAATCGCCAGTTTGCTGTCTTTCTCCCTTTTCTTACTGGTCTCTGTGCTCCTCCTCTCTCCGTACGTAAATAGATGATGGTCTTGCACTTCGTTCCAAAGAGAATCGTTTGGATTTGGGGATAGAAAGTGAATTTTTGTAGGGTTTTAGAAAACCCCCCTTTTGAGTGCAAGAACCATGCGAAGCAGTAACTGGAGTCCTGCCTCCGCTTTGTCTTAGGACAAGATTCTAAGCAGGACACAGACAGGGCCTGGGCCTTGGCCTTGGCCAGCCCCTGCTTTGCATGAAGACACAAACACAGTGGCCATAAGGTCACAGGGAGGACCGGTCAAGGTTGAGCGACTCGCAAGATGGCCACAGCACCGTCAGAACAGACACACTGTTGGGTGATGGTGTGGGGGCAGCGGATGCCTTTCCTTTTCCCTTCTCTCAGTACCAAGTCTGACTGATGTATTTAAATAATTAATTAATTAAGCAGATAAGGGTGCTTAAAAAGGTGACTCCCCTAGGCACTTCGCATCTTATTTAAACTTCTTCACCAACCTTTTCCTAATGTCTAGCACAATCGTGATGATGGGCACCGAATCTTTGAAGGGCACTTCGCATCGAGTGCACGAACAGTTAAATGTTCAGCTGTGGTGATGCCCTTCTTCGGGTCCCCCACAGTCACAGCACCTGAGAAGCAGCACAGAAGCATGTGTGTGCATGCGTGTGTGTGTGTGTGTGTGTGCGCGTGTGTGCGTGTGTGCGTGTGTGCGTGTGTGCGTGTGTGTGTGTGTGTGTGTGTGTGTTGGGGAAGTGGCATTACCCAGAGAAATTATCGGTGACTTAGAGGTAATTATTGGTAATTTCTTTATCAAAATGAGTAACTTTCCATTTTTTTATTCTACCCATTTTTAGGGCACGATAGATTTACACACAGGAACAAAAAATTCATTTTTGGGTTTGGGCTGATACCTGGGACCATCTAAAAACATCTAATGGGGCATGCCAAAACATCTGAGGATCGACAGGTTAATTACTAAAACCTTGAATATCCACCATTAAATGTGATGTACAGGTTTCTGTCTTTCCTTAGGCAGGCTAGGGAGACTTTGATTTTCGCTATTATTTTAAAGTAATTTGAAAATAAAAGAGGGCTCACAAATGTTGCTAAAAGCGAGCGAAGGGACAGAACTGCTTCATCGGCAAGGGAAAGCTCTCCAGTAACCCGGCAGAGTCTCCAAGGACTGTGAGGCCAGTCCTTCATCACTCGGGCCCCACACAGTCTGTCCCCAGATCTGGCTGGCGGGGCGACCAGGCAGTCCCTGCCTCCAGGAAGCTTGTGTTGTAGTAGGAGGGAGGGCAGGGCCTTAAACAGCTAACTGCATAATTATGTCATCATACTTGCAATGCGTGATGAGTAGGAGGGGTAGAGAGTGCCAAGAGAGCATTGATGGGGAGACCTAGAGCAGAATGAATCCATAAAACCCACCACTGGTACCCCTCACCCAGCAATAGCTGGAGAACCCTTCGTACATGGTGGCAAAGTTTATTTATTTATTTTGAGAGAGAGAGAGAGAGAGAGAGAGAGAGAGAGAGAGAGAACAAGCCGAGGAAGGGCAGAGAGAGGGAGAGACAGAATCCCAAGCAGGTTCCACCCCATCAGCGCGGAGCCCTGTGTAAGGCTCGAACTCACACACCGCGAGATCATGACCTGAGCAGAGCCCAAGAATCGGACACTTAACCGACTGTGCCGCCCAGGCACCCCAAACATGCCCACCTCTAAGAAGCCTTCCAAGGCCAAGGCTGGCTTAGATGTCCCTCCCAGAGCACTCAGCTCTCTGCAGACACCACTTTGGGGGCATGTGTCTCAATTACTGGGTTTTTTGTCCGCAACCCCTCCTACCTTGAGCACAGCATCTTGCCTTCTGCTGTTTGTAACACGGTGTTGACACAGCAGGTGCTGAGTGAATGTCTGATGGGTGGGTGGATGAACATGGCCCCATGGAGCTCCTGAATGGCCCCAGAGTTTCTAACCATGGGGCTCTGGAGCCAAAAGCATGTCTTATTTCGTGCTGCTGCCACAAACCAGGACTCTGTCCCCTTCACAGCCTCTCCCAAACAACGTGGTCCTTCTCTCCTCCCAAACACAGATTCCTTCAGTTTCCCCAACTGAACTATCACCTTCCTTCTTGCTCTTCTCCATGGAATTTATTAAGTAATTATCATGCACCAGGAGATGTTCTCATTGCTAGGGTATAACAGAGAATGACGGGGGTATGAATTCACTGGTCTCGTGGTTCCTGAAAGTCTCAAGGATTGGTGGGTCTCCTGACAGACATCCAGGAAGTAAACAAGTGAGAAAATCTCAAATACCGGTAGTTTTTCCCCAAAAAAGATAAATAGAGTAATAGCTACCTGATCTCAAGACTCAGGATAAACCTATGGTAATCCAGGCGGTGTATGCTGAAAAAAGACATCATCCATGTAGGTGAATGGAATGAACAGAGGTCAGAAACGGACTTGCACATATACAGCCAATGTGATTTTTGACGTAGTTGCAAAAGCAATCACACGGAGAGGTGATGGTCTTCCAGAAGTGGCACAGGAATGATTGGATATCAATATGCAATAAAATTAGTGGCCTTCAACCCATATCTCACACCGTCTAAAAAAATTACCTCAAAAGAGATCATGGACTGAACCAGAAAATCTAAAAAATATGAAACTTGGAGAATAAAACATAGAAGGAAACCTTCGTGATCTTGGGTTAGACAGATGTGTCTTACATATGACACAGTTCCTAAAAAGGGAAAAATGATAAATTGTCCTTTATCAAAATGAAAAACCTATCTTTGAAAGACGATGAAAAGATGCATTATAAACTAGGTGAAGATATTTGGAAATCACTTATCTGGGGGAAAAATCATATGCCGAATATAAAAAGAATGTATACTAAATACTCTCAAAAAAGCCTAGTAATGGGAAAACATTTTTGGTAAGGGCCAAAGATGTGAGCAGACCCTCCATCAAAAAAAAGATATAATCGCCAAGAAGCACATGAGAAGATGTTCAGCATCATTAGTCAACAGAGAACTGAAAACTAGAACCATCGTGGCATAGTTCCATTAGATACATACACCTATTCGAACGGCTAAAATAAAAATTCTGACAATACCAAGTGCTGGTGAAGATCTGGACTGAGAATTCTCCCTCATGGTTGGTAGGAATACAAAATGGTACAGACAATTTAGAGAATAGTTTGACACTTCCTTAGATGGTTAAAAAAATCCGCTTACCATATGACCCAGCCATCCCACTGCAAGGTATTTATACAAGAGAGATGAAAACTCTGTCTGAATGTTTATGGCAATTTTATTTGTAATCACCAAAACTGGAAACGAGAATGCCTTGCAAGTGGAGAATGAATAAATTATGATCCGTCCATACAGTGAAGTGATTTTCAGTAAGGACAAGGAAAGACCTCCTGATATGTACAATAATACAGATGAGACTCAAATAAATTGAGCTACAGAAAGTGAAAGCAATCAGACTGCAAAGGCTACATAATATATGATTCCATTTCTATGACAATCTGGAAAAAGCAACACTCCAGATACAGAGACCAGCTCTGAGCTGGCCTTGGGGAAGGTTTGGCTATAAAGAGACATGGCAACACTTGGGGGCAATGGAACTTTCTAGATCTTGATTATAGCACTAGTAGTACATGTATGTATGCATTTGTCAAAGTGTGCAGAACCACAGTAAAAGGGGTGAATTTTACTGTCTGTAAATTTTTTCTCAATTACATGAAAACTTACCAACAAAAACAAAAACAAAAACAACCCACCAACATTACATAAAGGGATAGCAGAAAACAAATAGAACATTCTGCTAGACAGTGGCAAGGCCAGGGACGGGAGATGGGTGGTGTTTACACTGAGTAGTCTGGGAGGCCTCTCGGAAGAGGTGGCGACGAGTGGTGACTTAAGGTCAGGAAGGGAGTGGCGTGGACAGGTGTGCGAGCCGAGCCACCACCGACAGGAGCCCCGGAAAGGGCAAAGGCCTGAGGCGAAACAAGCCTGTTGAAACAGCAAGAAGAGAGAGAAATAAGTCGGTGCTTAGCCTTTGCTGTCAACCTATAAAAAAAGAAAAAGTTCTTCCAGTGAACAAAAATCTGGATCATCATCTCAGATCTGAATTTAGGCTATGCATAATCAAACTTACTAAATATAGTGGGTAAATATAGATCTAAGGCTGCCCATAATAAAAACTCCAGGAAGGGCATGGGAGTGGAAAGGAGGAGGGGCGGGGGACCAGGAGGGAGGGAGGGGACAGGAACACAAAACTAGCTTTCCTGTGCCTTTGGATGGAGGTGGGACTGACTTACTCTGTATCATAGAAATCACCTTCTCTGTTTTAGGTTTGCTTAGAAGATAGTCCCAAGGCAGTCACTAAGTCAAATGAAGGCCTGAGAAGCCCCTCGCCATCCAGGTTCAGATTTCACGTTCCAAACGTGCACTCTGCATTTTACAAGGATGATTAGGTTTATTTAAATTCTTTTTTTTTTTTTTTTTTTTTTTTTTTGCCCCCTGACTCTAAAATGTGCCTCCTAGTTTTATTGACAAGTCTGTTCCTTGGTGCTTCTTAGACTGGCTCTTTACAGCTTTCTGCATGTGAGCTGAACAAATATTTTTTTTGTTTGTTTTCAATGTGTGATTTCTCTGTATCACTATCTCGGTAAAGCCCACAGCATTGCTTTCGTTTTTGACGTATTTAAAAATGGGAATTTAACAAACCCCTACCTCATGTTTATATGAACGCGTATGTATGACATAACCTAAGAGCATGTGAGGAGTGATCTTCGCTTGACCATTTTAAGCTGTTCTCGCCAATATCTTCAGCACATCAGCAGCTCATCTCCAGCGCAGCCACGCGTGAAAGAATTTCTGCCTTATTCATGTAGGGGAATAATACGGTGTCAGGAATGCGCTTCATCGGCAATATCTGATGACTCTGTGTGCCGTTAAGAAAATAAAGATGGATGGAATCTTTGTCAGCTCTCTTAGGTTTGCAATAAAAACGTACAGTGCGAGATACCATGGAGGCCTCTCCTTTACTTGAAGACTTTCTCATATGTCACGTGTCAAATGGTGATAAAAAGACGATCTTTGCGAAGGGCAGGTTCTCCCCTGACCCCGACAGCTCTGATAAAAATGGATGTCACGTCAGCACACGAGCTAATGGAGCCCCCCCGGCAGCCCGCTCACTGTGGAGGGGCAGGGAGCTGGAATGACCTGGAAGTTCCCATATCCTCCCCAGGCAGCCAGTCACCCACGGCTGTGAGCCTTCCACCCGGCTGCTCTGTTCCTTTGTGCCGCTCTGCTTCTAACAGTCTTGCCCTTCTATCCAGCCCAACAGTCTTCCTCACATCACTGTGGGGCTCCCTTCCACTGCCCCTTCCCCAGCGTGTGTCGCTGCCCACCTTCCACGCTCACAAAAAGGATTCTTTCCCACCCCGACACCTCTCCTCCTGTCCCTCCCTTGGTCTAACCCTTTCTTGCAGCTCTGTGTGACCCCGGACCCTAAACACACACACACACACACACACACACACACACACACACACACACCTTTCTCTTCTATTAACCAACTTCTTTGTGGGTTGGAGTGAGTCTGAGTCACTTTTTAATTTCCTGCGATGCCTAAGGGCACACCCATGCATCAAAGGTGCTCAATACACGTACATTGATTAGGTACATAAATTTATCCTGAAGTTGAGAGTCATTGTAATTGTGGAGTCAGGCCCGACGACCTTGTAATTGCCTTTCAAGCAGAATAGGCAGAAACCAGTAAACCCTCCATCACAGAAAGCACTAAATTGCTGGTGCCACCGGTCCCACCCACACCCAGGGCAGGCATCCCTGATTGACCCCAGCACTCTTCCCCACCCAACCAGACAGGCCCTCACAGTCCTTCTCAGCCCACCCTCTAGGAAGATATTGTCAGTCTCTGCAAGAGGGCACAAGAGCTAAAAAGCATGACTTTTAAGGATGCAGAAAAATGGACAGTATTTCCCAATCTTTCAGTGATCCCAAAGATAGGTAGTCTGTATGAATTTGTAATTTTGCTGAAGCACAAATTCGATACAGATACACAAAATATATACAGTATGCAGTATATATATATAACTGTGGGTGTGGGTGAGTGCCTTTAGTCATTTAGAGAATGCATCTCTCTATAATCAATAACTCTCCTGATGTGTTCCTTAAATTTTTTTTCATCCTTGGGGTGCCTGGGTCCGTTAAGCTTCGAACTTCAGGTCACGATCTCATGGTTCGCGAGTTCAAGCCTGGCATCAGGCTCTGTACTGATGGCTCAGAGCCTGGAGCTTGCTTCAGATTCCGTGTCTCCCTCTCTCTCTCTCTCTACCACCCCTCCCCCACTCACGCTCACTCACTCTCTCAAAAATACACATTAAAAATTTTTTTTAAAACATTAAAAATTTTGTTCATTCTTTTTACCTTATATCCGGAAATGTAAATAAGTTCTTAGTTTTGCTTTTTAAAAAATGATGTAATGTAGGGTAGAGTTTATTTTAGTGGGAAAATTTAGTAACTTTACTACTTATTCCTGTCCTCCGATCTATAGGATTATTAAGATTCAAAGGCGATTGCTTAAGTGTCAATGTATTGTGTCTTGTGGGGAAATCACATTGCCATAGTGTCTACAGCTTTGAAAGTGATCTCAAAGTGTGTTCGCTGTGAATATCAAGAGTAGATTGTGGATCTGGGGAAATCTTGGAAGTCTCAGTCTTTCGTGACGCCATCCCATCATAATTAAGATAAGGCCAGAACCACGTTGTTGGCAGGAACTGGGGTCAGGAGCTGCTCTGAGATAGCCCACAGCCAGCACACCTGTGGGACCTGGAAGTCACACTACTTGAGGAACTCCAGGACATATACCAGGAAGCCAACTTCGATGCCATTAACACAGCGCTCTGACTGAAAACACCCTGCGCAATACATGTATCATATCTCCTTACAAGAAGTCCAGAGGGAGAGTGGATTCAAGAACCGATGACAGTATCTCGGTGATTTCATCAAAGACTGAGGCTCTTCCTTCTTCCTAGGCCAGCCCCCTTCAAAGGCGCAAGGCCGTGAAGCAAGTTACCGGAGTCACGTCCAGACACACGGACGTCCAGAGTCATGAAAGAGACGATCGCTTCTGGCATCTCCTCTCAAAATAATGATTATGGTAGTTAACACAACACTTAGTATGTAGCAGATGCTCTTCTAAGAGCTTTACAGATACTAACTAAATTTTGTCCTTATCACAACCCCATTAAGTGTATATTATCCTTAACCCCATTTAACAGATGAGGAAATGGCGGTAAATAAGGTGACGTAACTTTCCTAATGACGCACAGCTGGTAACTTCAGTCCACTTCAGGGACCGTGCCCTTAACCACAAAGTTATCTCTACTAAGAAAGCCTTTCCAAAAGCAACCCAGAGCCTTGCTTTCATGCTTGATTGGCCAGAACCGAGTCACATGGCCATCTCTAAACCAATCACTGAAGAGAGTCCTGAGATTGCTGCAAGGAGAGAGAAGCCAATGAAGCTGTATCACTGAGCTGGAGATAGACTCATCTCTCCCAAGGGACAGAAACTGAAAAAAAGTAGAATGCTAGTCCCAAAGAGAGGAGATGGACATAAATCAAGGAACTGGCATTTCCTGCTCTCGGGTACTGCCTAAAAACAGCCCAGCTTGACTAATCCCATTTCTTCTGCTTTGATAAAGCGAAAAGAGTGGGTTACCGTCGGTACCCACGCGCATATCTCGACCTCCTCTCTTGCTTGTAAGCACTCTAAAAATAACGCATCTTACAAACCTGCCTATTCCCCACAAGGCCTGGCCATAGGGCCTTGCACACAGAAAGTGTTCAAGAAATGTTTGTTCATTGTAATTGGATTTTCATTCTCAAGTCTGCTTAATTGAAGAGGTCAACAGTTGGCCATGCTCAAGGCAGGCAGATAATGCATTTTCACATTGATCTAACAATCAAATGAATTCTGAGAAGCTTCTCTTGCCATGCAAAATAGCATAAAATCACACATTAACATAGGTCAGTGCAAAAGCCCAAATTTATTAAATTGTTAGTGTCTTGCACTCAGCACCCTTGGAGGTAACATTAATGTCACACTTTTATTATGACTTGACATTTCCACTATATTTCAAGGAACACATCAGAGAATCGTAAGAGAGCAGGCTACATAATTTGTACAGCCCTATGCAAACAGAAGATGCAGACACCGGTCTGGGTAGATAAGTTAATCTCCCATTTCATGGGCCTCTTGCTCTGACCTTCAGTCGATAGGTGGCCCCCAAGAGATTGTAACTTCCCAGGATTGGGAGTGGGTGAGAAGGTCACATGGAGTTGCCCGCTGAACTTACTGTGATCAAATCAGCCCACAGCAGAGACTAGCATTGCCTTGCCCTACCCCAAGAAGCAGCAGGATGTGTGCCTGACTTTGACCCTACCTGTACCTGGGCAGAGCAGAATGTAGCAGAACTTGGGCCACCCCCACCTGGTTGTTGCAGTATTCAGGGGCAGGAGCAGAGACATGGGAGGCAGGCAGAGCCTGAAGTTTGGTGGGTGGATGAGCTCTCATCCCAGAGGGGCAGTAGGGACATGGGACCACCTGTGAGATAAGGCTTCAAGCCCCGGGTGCAGGCTCCAGGGTTCCAGCATATTTCACTTACAAAACACCAATTCAAAGATAAAGGTATTTGTGGATTTCAAGATGATGACCACAGGGCATTAAGCCCCACACCCTTCTGAGCACAGAACCCCATGAGCCTGCATTGATCACACACCCTGGCCACAGAGGTCAGGTGTGGTACCTTGTTTCAATGGAACATCCATGCATGGAGAAGGTAGACACAATTTTAAGACATGCTATTATACAAAAGCTTTTTTTTTTTAATTTTTTTTTTCAACGTTTATTTATTTTTGAGACAGAGAGAGACAGAGCATGAACAGGGGAGGGGCAGAGAGAGAGGGAGACACAGAATCTGAAACAGGCTGCAGCCTCTGAATGGTCAGCACAGAGCCCGACGCGGGGCTCAAACTCACGGGCCGTGAGATCATGACCTGAGCTGAAGTCGGACGCTTAACCGACCAAGCCACCCAGGTGCCCCAACAAAGGCTTCTTGAATGGATGAACTTACCTAATGGAATGGGCGAAGAAGTTGGGCAGTGAAGAGGGTAATTCCTCCCTGTACGACATGTCCCTTTCTGTAGCTCCTTTCCTAAATGTATGCCATGGACACTTGGGACTTTATCCTGCAGACAGGCAATGGGGAGCCTGTTTTCCTTTTTTTTGATTGGACGAGTAACATAATTGATGGGTCTCTTTTGTGACTGTGTGGAGTAGGAATTCAGGGAAGAAGAGACACTGGGCATGCAAATCAACTAAACTCTAGAAGGACTATTAATGAAAATGACATTATTAGCACAGGAGCTAAAGGTCTGGGCTCTTTAGTTAGAGCTACCTGAGTTTATTTATTTTTTTTTTAATTTTTTTTCAACGTTTATTCATTTTTGGGACAGAGAGAGACAGAGCATGAACGGGGGAGGGGCAGAGAGAGAGGGAGACACAGAATCGGAAACAGGCTCCAGGCTCTGAGCCATCAGCCCAGAGCCCGACGCGGGGCTTGAACTCACGGACCACGAGATCGTGACCTGGCTGAAGTCGGACGCTTAACCGACTGCGCCACCCAGGCGCCCCAGAGCTACCTGAGTTTAAATCCTGGTTGTCCTTCCTAGCTAGACGTGGGCCAGTCACACACCTTCTCAGCTCCACTTTCTGTATCTGTTGAAGTAATAGTGGGAGGATTCTTTGTGAGAGTTGAAAGAAATGATTGTGTATGAGGGACATGACAGTGCCTGGGTCATTACATGTAGCTCTTAGTATATTATCATAGGAAATGGATTCTTGCTAGTTTCTCGTAGTCTCACATTTATATACTTTCTAGAAGCTCTGTGCTGTCACTTACAAGAAGGAAACGCCCACATGCCTGACCACCGCCATCAGCGAGACTCTCTCCCCTCCGCAATTTTTCCTTCTCCTACTTCATAATCTTCTGCTCTACCTTTGGGCAGCAGCCTCAAGGTCTAGCTCTCCAATATGGCATAGCATCCTCTCTACAGAAGGAACTCTTGGCAGGGTCCCTCATTTACGAAAGGAATTTAGAAAAACCCACCTTGTGTTAATAGCCTAATTTTAAACACATCATCTCGCTAAAGAAATCACCTCATTCATGTGTCCATCCCTCCATTTATTCACCCTCTCTTGCCCCACATCACAAAGGATGATGATTTAAGGAAGAAAGAAGAGTACATTACTTAGATATGTAAGGTATATTGTCCCCATTAAAAACATACTTCATCATTGTTATAATAATGTCATCAGTAAAATAATTTATGGACATCCCACTTACCTGTAACTGACCAGGATCCAAGTTATGTGGGGGACACAACAGAAGCACTTACACCTCACAAGCACCAGAGGCTCCTGGCACAGTTTCCCAGGTGTTAAGAAATGCCTAGACATCAGGGTGAAAGAATAGGTTCATGAACACAAAAACTCTAGGGCCATAGTCTCTCGAACACGGAGCCACTGCGAGCTTCAGAATCAGGCACACTAGGTTTGCTCGTGTGTGGATGAAAGTGCCACCTACCACTATTTCCAGTGCTCTGCTTCCAGGCATATAAGAGGATCACATTTCCTAGGACCCTTCAAGTTAGGATGGCCTTGTGATTCCCTATGGCTTCTACAATGTGAGAAGTGATGCACGTCACCTCCATGTGGAAGCATTTAAGAGATGGTGTGAGATTCTCCAGGCCTGTTCCTCCTCCTTCCTCAGTAATTGTGGAAGCTACTGCACATAAAGCTGCCTTCAGCCTGAGTCCCTGACTATCTCAGAACTCCCCTGTCAACCTATGTTATACATGTAGTTTGAGCAAAAACAAACCTTTGTTGTCTTAAACCACTGAGCATTGGGAGCATTTCTTATCACGGTGTTATTTAGCCCATCCAATCCAATACAGCATCATTCCGGGCTCAGAGGATACACAAATAAACAAGATAGGCTAAGTCTCCCTTGCACATGGTGGCAGGAGGGATACATGTAGCAGACACACAAGTAAAGAAATACATAGAATATTGCAATGTGCAGAATGCCGTGAAGAATATAATGGCGGGGAAGGGAATGTGGAGGGCCGTGGAGGTTGCTACTTGGGCACCAGTGCTCAGAGGAACCTCACCAAAGTGCTGGGTGCTGAGCTGGGGAAGAGGAAGCCACCTCAAGATTTAGAGGAACAAATTCAGACATTTCACAGCAATTCGGAAATTCGAAGCTGAGGGGGGTAGGACCGAATCTATCCCATCTACTGGCTCACTCTGGTTGCTTTTGATAAGCAGAGTGTATGTAAGAATGGAAACAGGAAAATCCAGATGCAGTAAAACAAATGAGAGAGGGGGTGTTGGGGTAGGTTGACAGTGACCAGGTTCAGGATCTGGTGTGGAGATGGTAGTAATAGAACTTGCTGGTAGACAAGGCGCCTGGGTGGCTCAGTCGGTTAAGGATCTGACTTCAGCTCAGGTCATGATCTCACAGCTCGTGGGTTCCAGCCCCCCGCATCAGGCTCTGTGCTGATGGCTCAGAACCTGGAGTCTGCTTCGGATTCTGTGTCTCCCTCTCTCTCTGCCCCTCCCCTGCTTGTGCTCTGTCTCTGTCTCTCTCAAAAATAAATAAACATTAAAAAAAAAAAATTTTAAGAACTTGCTGGTAGATTGGCTGTAGTAGGAGAGGAAAAAGAGAATCAAGATCAACTCCTGGGTTTTTGGTCTGAGCCACTGGTTTCTATTTACGAAGATGGAAAAGGTGGGGAGCAGGTCTTGGAGAGAAAATCAAGAGTTCTGTTGTGAGTTTGTGGGGTTGGAGGGGGCCACTTGATGGCGAAGTGGAGTTATCAAGCAAGTGGTTGGATGTGTGCATGTGGACTCGGGAGGAGAGAGTCTGGAGATAGGGGCTGGAGAGTCATGGAGCATTAGGGGTGGTAATTCAAGCACTGGCTTGGCTGTGGTCCCTTGGAAGGTAGCATGGATAGGAGAAGAGAACCAAGAGCTGGGAACTCTCACATGTAAAACTTAGAAAAGGAAGGGTCATCAGGAGAGACTGAGCAGTTGGCCCAGTGAGGTCAAAGGGCTGGCGTGACATGGAACAAAAGAACTTGTTTCAAAGAGGAGGGAAGAGCACTTTATGCCCAATATGGCTGGCAGGTCAAATATGATGGAAATGGAGATTTGGCAATTGGAACAAGTAACAAGTAACAACTTGCTTTGTGGGAGTGAAGAGGGAAGAATGACGAAGCAGAGAAAGTAGAACTAGACAGCTCTCCCCCAGAGTTTGGATGTGCAGAATGGCAAAAAAAAAATGGGGTGAGAGCTGAGTCCCTGTATCCAGATCTGCCTTGACAACATGCGTAATCTCATGTCCTCCAACTTTGGTTAGACTTGAGCCCCATCTTGAGCTTTACAGACTACGTGTGGGCTGGAATCTTTTCCTGAATCTTCGCCTCACGTCTGGGAACATATAACTGTCTGCCAGACTACCCTGAGCACAACTTTCTGCCTACCAAAATCTCCACTTAAAGTAAGACTAAACCACATGCCCTGGAGAGATATGGACAAAAGGAGAAAGAAAAAAGTGTCATCTTTTCTTTCCAAAACCGGAACAGTTCCACGTACATGAGAGCAGTCGTTGACAATGCTATGATGTCCCCCAAAAGGCATTGACCATCAAGAAGGTGAGTAGCGATGGTAAGAAAGTCGGAGACCTCACGTGAGCAGCAATTCAAAGCAGGATGACAGATGGCCACAATGCTGGGAATTCTTTTAATTTTTGAATTGTCAATATAGTCTCATGGTTCCAAACTCAAAATGTATAATGGAGGTGCAGTGATGTCTCCTTCCGACCCCTGTCCCTCAGCCTTCCGTTCACGTGTCCAAAGTCAACTAATGTAAGTTTCTCGTCCTTCTTTCCACACACACCTGCAAATACATAGGCATCCTTTCCTTTCTCCGTCTTTTGACTCAAGTGCTGTTATGCCCTGCGTACTCTTCTGCATCTACAAAGCCAGAAATTTGACAACATGGAAGGAAGTGGATTTTTACAGTTTCACCTAACAGCTACTGAATTCATGCTAAATATTTTTTGGGAAAGTTTTTTATTAGGTAGTAGGCATGATACGTGGAGTCTAAATTGAGTTCTCATATGTCTGGGAGCATCTGTTGAATGGGGTGAACCTGTGAGGAGGGGGAAGGTTCCCAGGAGAACAAAAATAGGAAATGTGACATTTGTGCCTAAGCATTCCGATGCCAGTTCCCAGAGACTGTCACGGAACCTAGTCATCACTGATGTGATGTGCCTGCTCGCCATAATCCCATCCCTTCCAGCACTTCTGGGAAGGCTCTGCCCTCCTGCCAGCACACCCACGGGGTGCCTTGGCCAGCTCTCTCTGAAGTCCGTCAGCTGCCAAGATCACCACCTGTCCCCTGTCAAAATTGGCCTTGAACTGCAAATGTCTCCCTCCTGGCTGACCATCCTTGGATGCCTACATCAGGGTTTATTGTGTAACCAGGTCCCATGTTCCTGGTCTGATGTCCCACCAGCAGCTGCCGTGTCTGAGCCCTTCTCCTAGCAGGGAGCCTGTGCCTCTTGAATGCGAACCAATTCTAATACTTGAAAAAAAAAAAATCGGGCCCAGTTTTTAAAATTATCATCTGATATGCCAAGCAAAGTGAAGCTCATTTTCAAATGATTCCCAGCTGTCATAATAGCTTCGTGCCTGGATGGCTCAGTCATCGCAGAACTAAGGAGGGCAGTTTGATTTCATATTTGACCTGGTAACAGGAATTGTGATTGGAAATCAACTTGAGATGCTTAGAACAGCTCCTTGTAATCACATCAATTAACATCGGTACGTTGCTTTCCTGTGTATAAAGCACTTTTATGTACACTGTCATAATATGTTAGGGGTGATGGTGGCTTTAAGGAGAGAACAAAATGGAATGATTTTACTGCCTGAGCTTAGAAACAGGAAGGAAACAGACAGGTTCTTACAGAAGGAAATAGCAGAAGCAGACCATGGTGCTAAAGCACAAAATACGCATTACCTGTGCCGAACCCAGGGAGGCAAGAATGAAGACATTGCCAATTCAAGAGAGACACTCCGTGGGAGGAGGGTCAAGCCAGACTGAGGTCCTGTAACGAAGTGTTCAAGACTGAGGGCTGTTGGACACCTGTCTGGCCAGAGAAGGTTGTTTGTTCTTTCATTTATTACATCGGTAATACATAGCTTTGATTAAAATATCACGACGGCAGATAAACCAGAAAATAAGTAGGACATTTAGGCTTCTCTGTCTAGCCTGTCTTATGGCCACGTTCCTGGAGAGAGATGCCTGATACCCATTCCCATCGACACCCCCCCCCCCATTTTGCTGCTGCTTCCCCGATTTCCTGGAAAAGCACTTACCAGCTCCCGGTCCAACCTGGTCCCTCTTCCAGTGGTTTGGGAATAAGTATTTTCCTAGCCGTTGATGACTCAGTAATGGGCTTCACTGATGATAACTACACTTCCTGGAGAACCAGTAGCCATAGTTATCTCTCTTTTCAGAGGCTGAAATGCACGCTATGTCCATACAAATGGCGGAAGAATTCTGCTTGATTCATGTCATGGCAATGAATGCCAAGCAAAACCATGATTCACCACATCTGGTGATTTTGATCTGCCAATTCTGCATAAATATTTTCTTTACGGTACTTTCCACAAAGAGTCTCACGGAACTGGCTCGAACACATCTTTGGGTTTCTACTCTCCACCCTCACTGCCTTTGCCTATCAGAGTCCCTTGCATACAGCAGGTGATCAATAGATGTTTACTGAATGAGAGTCTTCTTAGTTGCCGTGTGATGAGCCTCCACTGTTGAACGGACTCAGTAGGCTTTGTTTTTGTGTATTTCCCTCCCGGATGAAGCCACTGTCCTGATGAGCAAAAGTGGGGTGACTTGAGGGTTGATTCTCCCCAACTTGGGGGTAAACATAAGGGCACGTGTGAGGGTTAGTGTCATGACTAGAATGTGACAAGTCCGGGGTGTGTGTGTGTGTGTGTGTGTGTGTGTGTGTGTGTGTAGGCATTAGTACTTTATCCCTGGTCTACAGGAATTTTCCAACATGAGACTTTTCTTGGCAGAAGCTAATACGACTTCTTTCTCCTCTGATGTTTCCCTCCTCAAGACTCCCCTCCCTACAGAATTCTCATCCATCTTATTGCAGTTGTACCCAAATGCCTCCAGTAAAAATTGACCTGAATTCTTGGAGAAAACTAGATTCAGGCCGTCATGGGCAGGACACAAGGCGGAGGTGAGCTCTCCAAAATGCAGACCACGAAACAAGAGTAGGAAAGCTGTCAATGAGATCAGGACTGGCCTAGCACTACTGGTATACAGTTGAGGGTGTGTTGTTGTTTTCTCTTTTCTTTTTTATGGACAGTGCTAATAGTGCTTGTAGGCTGTAATTATCCCAAGTCCTACCCTGGTCCAGAAATGAGGACAGGAGCAGGGATGGGACACAGGAGGCAGGAGAGGGAATGAGTGCAAAGGAAAGTTAAATTAGAGGGAGAAAGAGAGGGGAACTGTAAGTGGAATCAATGGAAATGGCAAGGTTTTACCAATAGCCCTTTTCCTAGATGGAAGTGTATCCATTTGTATTTCTGTCTACTGGGGCACCTGGGTGGCTCAGCCGGTTAAGCATCCGACTCCAGCTCAAGTCATGGTCTCATGGGTCGTGAGTTCAAGCCCTGCATCAGGCTCTGTGCTGACAGTTCAGAGCCTGGAACCTGCTTCCGATTCTGTGTCTCCTTTTCTCTCTGCCCTTTCCTTGCTCTCTCTCTCTCTCTCTCTCTCTCTCTCAAAAATAAACAAACATTAAAAAAATTATATTTCTGTCTATCTATCCGTCCACCCATGCACTCTTCCATCCATCCACCCTGCCTTTTTCCGAAAGAATTTACATTGATTTCCAAGGATAAGTTGTATGTGATGATATAATATAAACTATAATTGGATAGAATAACACAGAAATACTAGGATGGGGACAAAATGGAGCCGAGAGTTGGGCTGACCCCACACGCTCGCTGGATTGGATCTCTGTGCTTCTCTAAGGGATGGCCCGTGGCAAAGAGAGGCAGTGACACCCAGACCCAGAGGGAGCATCTTGCTAAACCCAGGGCTCTGGCCTGTGGCATGTGTCTTCCTCTTCAGATCTGTCTCTCTGGTCGTGTATGGCTTGGACTCAGCACACCCAGTTGGGTTCCATGGGGTGAACCCTGCAGAACGAGTGGCAGGGAGAAAACAGAGCTACCTATGAGTGACTGTGAGTGTTGTGGATGCTAAACCCCACATGCAAATACCACTTGGCTTGCAGAAGGCACGCTAACACAAAGAACCCGCCCGACTAAAGAAAATACGTTGTCGGAAGTTATAAAACAACATTAATTTTTTCGGAGCTCATAAAATACCAAATTTTAAAGTCTTTTTTTGAGTTAAGGGGGAAAAAAAAAAAGGATTTAAAATCGTATTGACAGGGCCTATGAGATTCTTTTCTTATCTGACATCTCCCTCTACTGACCGTACGGTCTCTGTCTTTCCCCTCGCAACCCAGCAGGGACGTCCTTTGAAAGCGAGGTGCCTTTGAGTCTTTGCTCACAGATTGGAGGGGACCAGGGGGAAGATCATAGGGTCCGCTTGGGACTTGGGGAACTGGGCCATCCGAGTGAAGTCAGCAATAGAATGCATGTCTGGAGCTCAGAAGAGAAGCCTCAGACAATGAGAGGAGCAGCAGATTGTTCTGGAGGAGAGGATGAAAGTTAAGAGGAGGAGAAAGAGACGCCCTCACCTTGAACCTCTCACACATCAAGGTCAGGCAGATGAGTAGGAGCAAAACGGCATAAATTCACTTGTTCATTCCTCTGAAGGCTTTTTGTTGTTGCTGTTGTTGTTGTTGTTGATGATGGCACTTCCTACACAGGGCCATCCATCTCTGGCTTGTATCATCTCAGTGTTGGGAAACTCACTCCCTCATTGTCGAGAATTGTTTCACAATGTTTATCATTAGAAAGCTACCACTTACAATGAGCTGGAATCTGTTCCCCCATGTTTCCATCATTTTTATCATTCTGTGTGATCCAGACTCTCACCTCACAGTTTACCCAACAGATGCTTCCCCCTGAGAATCCCCTGAGAGAAGGCTGGCTAAATGGGTAATTTACCGAATTTGAAGTCTCTTCCCTCCCACTCCTCACTATCCTCCCTTGAAAGCTGTGTCTTATTCCCCTTCCTTCTCAACCTCCAGCCTATCAAACAATTCAGGGAGGCTTTCTAGGAAGTAAGTGCTTCGTGGGCATGATCTCTTTAGATATGGCGTCAATCGAGTGAGCTAGACCTCACCGTTATCGGTGAGGAAACGGAGGCTCAAGGAGATGTGTAACTTGCACAAAGCCGCGTGGCAAGTGTGTGGATGAGCCCTGCTTGGAATCCCCATCTGTCCGTTATCAAAGCTTGGGCACTTAAATCAACGTGATCCTACCTGTTTTGTCCGTAGACAACATGGGGCATAGGGAAAAAAAAAAAAACAAAAAAACCCGCATTGGTGTCCACTGGGCTGGACCGAATTGTGGTAACACCTACTTGAAAATTGGTAATTTGGGGGTCACGGGGCTTATAGTTGAAACAAGTAAGACTTAGTCTCTGGAGCCACATCTCTTCCCTGTTGACCCTACTGACTCTTCCTTATCCCAGCGCCAGCATCCGGAAGCGCTTCTCCTTCAGATTTAACTCCTTCTGCTTAGCGGTTCCCACAGTGACCTCGATCGGACTCCACATGCAGCACTGCCCTTTCTGCAGCCCTCTCCGGGAAGTCCTCCAACCTTATGGGGCTCCTGCCGGGAGGTGCACTGGGGCCACAGCTCCCATCGTTCTGTTCCGGATTCCCCCAGGGGGCGACAGACTCCTGCCGGCTATATACTGGGCCTCACTGGCTTCCCACTAACCGCTCTGTAACCTTAGGTGAGTTACTTAACTCCTCTGAGCCTCGTGTTTCTTATTGTTAAAAGGGAAGAAGCACCTGACGGTAGGTTGTAAGTGTAATTGAGAACGTAAGCTAAATATTTAATACAGCGCGTGCCCCACATCACAGCTACTCCAGAGTCGTCGCTGTTCTGAGCCTGGTGGGGAAATTGAAAAATCTGTAATTATCATTTCTACCTGGATGAACGATTAGAAGAAAGAAAGGCAGCATATGGAGAGCAAAGTCACGGGTGTGAGAAAGCAAATAGAATGCAATTTCATGGAAGCCACAGAAAGAGTGTTAGCCTCACTTCCTACTCCCTAGTGGGCTTTCACAAGTCCCGATCTTTCCTATGACAAGGAGATGCACAGGACTCCCCAAGCCTTGTTTCTGTAGAGCAGTGGAGACAGAGGGCAGAGAAACAGAGCAAGGTCTTAACAAAGGCAATTACTGATGACTATCAGGTGTGGTGGCAGGAAGAGAAGGAGGAGGGGGGGCAGCAGTCCAAGGCCAGTGGGTTATGTCAAGCAGGTGATTGATGAGTCCCCCCTGAGTCAAAGGCCGAGGCAGTTTCGGAGTGAGGCAGTGGGTGAATGAATGAATGAGTGAGTGAAGATGCCTGGGGTCTCGTTAAATAATTTTGAAACTGTTGACATGGTTAGGTCTGTCGCCATTATGCCTTTTTGGTAATGGTGAGAGCAGAAGGGGGAGGATAATACCATATCTTCAGCCACGCCCCCTGCCCCGCCCACTTTTTAACCCAGAACATTAGGTAAAAATCCTTTCACCTGCCACCATCCGTGGCTCCCTAAACGGACCAGCTTTTTCTGAGGTGCCCTCCAGTCGCGTGAGATCCGAAATAAGGTGCCCGTCAGAGGAGACTCGGGAATGTTAGTTTGTGGGTGGAAACTGGTCATCAAGGATTCAGAGATGTGTAAATGTGGGTCTCTAAATTTAAATGCATTCAGGAGGGTCTCCCGAGAGTCTTTTGCTCACATCGACCGAGGCTGGATGAAAACCTATTTATTTGTTCCCCTCAGCTCATTGCCTAGAACCAGAGCCCCCCTCTTTGAATGCTGTTGGCCGGCAGAAATAGTCCAAGCTTTGCAGGGGTGGGTGGTGAGTATCCAACTGGCCAATGACTACAGATCAGGGCTTTTTACACGTTAATGTGCGTGAGAATCCGCCCCCCCCCCACCCCGCCAGGGATCTTGCCAAAATGAGGGTTCTGCCTAAATTAATGGGGATGGGGGTGGGGCCGGAGTGCTAAGAGTCTATTTTTAACAAGCTTCCAGGCGGTACTGGTGCTTATGTTCTGAGGACCAGCATGAAGGACCATATTTTGAGAAGCAGGACTGTAACGTACCTGATACACCCCCCTTTGTGACGTTCAGTGGGACCCTAACACACTCTCGGTGGCAGTTCACCTCTAGAACTGCCTTCCTCCCCTTCCCAACCACCACCACCACCACCACCAACAACCCCTGCCAGAAAAGTGCAATAAATAAAAATTCAGTTGATTACAATTCCATATTCACCGCTTAGAGGTAGCTTTTCTCGGTTTGCTTTGGGAGGAAAATGTCTTTTCTTCCTTTTTGGAACCCAGAATTCTTGATTTTTTTTTTTTTTTCATCTTACCGGTTTGGCACAAACCTACTTGTGTTGATTTGGTGTTTCCTCTGTGGATAAACTTCCTGGCTTTGGAAAAAGCCTCCTTCTTTTATGAGGCACTTTTAACCTGCAGGATTTCCATTTAGCTTAATTGGCATATTTATGTATTGAGATGGGTACCTAGAGGGCTTGGGCCACAGCACTTTTGTATAAATCGAAAAAAAAATGAAATGAGCTCTTCTCACAGTTGTGTGCCCCTCAGTCATGGAGTGCGGTAAAAGGCTCATCATTTACAGGCTGCAGAAGCTCAGAAGATCAATAAGCAGAATGCAACCCGGAG